ACATCTTAATATTTTCTTGATATATCTTAAATAATATTATATATATAAAAATAAGTTTCCATTATGAATTGTTTAGGTGTGGTCACGTTGGCCTTTTTTAGCAAATTTTCACAGGCGAAATCCAGTCATTTTGAATTAGATTCCACGCGACCGGGAATTACGTGTAAGTGCAAAAGATTTCCCCTTGCACATTTTGTGCTTTATACATCACTATACTATTGACAATAGACAATGGACATTTTTTGTCTGCAAATTTTTTTTCTCTAAATTCACTAATGTTGACCACACTTGGCCACACCTGTATTTTAAACCTATTCTTTTTTTTGTATGGGTCCTTTTTTTTTTTTTTTGCCCAGCCCTAATGGACATTGAGATGAGCGTTGTCATCCAAACAGCTGTCTGTGCAGCTCAGTGCGTTCACATTCACCTCTGCTGAATCTGAAGACACCAGCTCAACAGATGCCAAGTGCCTTGATAGTGCAGTTTGACTGCATTTTGCACATTTCTTGTTTGTTTGAGTACACTTCGTAGCTGCTAGCAACAAGTATCTCATGTTACATCATTCACAGTTTAAAATACTGTTTCGTTGACCTCAATGAAGCCTTTCATTTTGGTCTTCAGGCGAGAAGAGAACCAAGAAAAAGAGCAATATCACCACACAGCCTTTTTATTGACAGCATGGCCCAGTTGTTCCACTTGTTGCCATAGGAACAGACAAGTTTTGAACTATGAGCTCTTTTTGCGGAATCCTTCCTGCAGGAACTTGCTAAACTGCTGTTTTGAAACATAGTTTTATTGAATGATTTTTTTTAATCTGCGGCACCAGAGGTCATTCAGTTTATTTTGATTCCTCCCCTCAGTCCTTTTGTTTCTGTAAACGCCTTGCCAACTCCTGCCAGCCTTATCATGGTGCTGTTTTGTGTGTTGTCTTAGGCACTTGAAACCAGCCATAGAAACCCATTATGAAAAAGAAAAAAAAATCAAGGCCTGGATTGTTTTCACACTCTCTAAGAAAGCAAGAGAAGGACAAAGTTGCTCTTTTTTCTCTGTTCTCAAGCAGTGAATCTGGGCTTTGGGAAGAGATTTGAGGAGAAGTGTTTTGTCTGGTTCTGTTTTAGCTCTGAGCATGACACATATATGTTGGAAGAGGAACATTTATTCAGATCTGTAGTTCCTGTGTTGTTTCCTGTTTAGCATTAAAATAGATGTATGCTTGTCTTGTTTTAAGAGTTTAAACGGTTCACAAGCAAACACAGAGACATGTGGAAGAATGAATCTCATTAAACCCGTCAAAACATTCCAGATCATATTAAGCCCCAACATCAACTGAAATAAAGAATCATATTTTTTCCCTAAAAAAAAAAGAATCCTATTTTGGACCCTAAACGTTTTTTTTTTAAAACATTCTGTCATAGTAATTTAATAACAATTATGCAATTTTTTTCTGCCCACTTTTCATCACTGTAATGTAAAATAATAACAAAACAAAAAAAATTTATTTTGTTAAATCTGTTCGATTTGTAAATTATTTCTACACATTGGTAGTACTTGTACTTTCTTTAGCATATGCTGATGTAAATAAAAAATACCGTAAAAGAAAAACACCTAGATACATTACGATAATGAGAATTTTCAGGGAAAAATTCTTGTCATTAAAATAAATTTTATGATGCACAAAAATATTTGAATGGACAACATTTTTCATGCAAAATATGATTTCTTTTTGTTGCTGTTGTTGTTATTTTGAGGGGAAATGTAGCTTGTACATCTTTTCACCCAGAAAGTGATGTCTTTAGTTACAGAGTATAATATCATTTACAAAAGGTGTTTGTCTGCAGTGTGATACATTTGACTGTTTATTAACTTCCACCTAGCTCACTGCCTGCTTTGCATATGTTCTTCACTGTGAGCAACCTCTATGCTGATCACCTTGTAAGTGTAAAGCAGACAGGGACAAAGACTTCAATCCAGGTTTTAATGTAGTTTTTGATTTCAATCTAATCAAGCAGGCAAATGCCGCACAGGTTAGAGAGGGTACTTGTTGTCATGATGCTAATCAGAGCATCTGAGGCTGCTGACACTCATTTTAAGTGAGTTATTTTGCTATGTTGTGTGTCCTTTTGTTAAACAATAGAAATTGCTATCAAAAGAACATGCATAATAAATAATAGTACGTTTTGTTTGTGTGATTAATGTGCAATTAATCTCTCTAATTCAGATCATCCGGTTGCACTCAGGTTGGCTTTTATTTTTATATTGCATATATGTTTGTGCACAAAATGTTTTTTTCCGAAAATAAATTTACAGTTCAAATTTTTCTCTTCCATACACTGGATCAGTTAATAAAATTTGGCTTTAATGAACTTATCAGGTTATGTAAAGATTGTAACTGTACTGTTTTATACTCTTCAGGCCGCTAATCGAATGCACAGCTGTTTTGTCTGTTTTGAGATGGAACAGATCATGAATTTGTCAGGTCATTGAAGGACACAATTGGTTGTCATTGCAAAGACTGCAAATGAAAGGTGTGTTCTTCCAGAGAAAAGTTAAAAGCCTCTCCTGTTTCTCCTGGGTGTGATCAATAGAAAAAGGGTGTTCAGGAACAGATGTGTGTCACAGAACATGAAGATAAGGATTTTATTGTGCTGTTAAATTTTGTTAAAAAGTGGCCGTTCCTCAAAAGTTATCTGACTGGATTTAGTCACATTTATGTCATTTCAACAAACAACATATTTGTGCTTCATCATGTTTCATTTAATTTTGTGGTCACCACAGATCACCTTTAACAACCAACAAAAAGATTAATAAAAGCAATCCGTGTGCTTTGTCATTTTTTTATTATTGTCTTCAATTTTCACTTTTTTGCACTACATGACTCAAAACTCATCTGATTGTCATATTTTGCATCTGACAAGGATGGAGGCAAATGAATCAACCACTGAGACACTGCGATTTCCCTCATCTAAACAGTTTTATATTGTATTCCTCTCAAGCTCCAAAAATGGCACCATCATAAGAACGGTAGAAGTACATTACTGTGCTCCTTATACTATAGTGTAAAGGAGGATGTGATATCATACATTATATACAATGACAAAGTATATCTTCCTCAATGTGACGTTTTAAATTTGTTCAGGTCTTTTCAGGCCTCAACTTGATGCATCATGCTGTAACTATTTTACTGCATGCTTTAAAGTGTTTGGTATGACATCAAACACTTGATCTCCCTCCACCCTAACAGTCACACATGGGCCTTAGGCGCTTTAGATGCTAAGTTTCAATCTGCCTTCTCATTTTCAACGTATATATATACTGTATATTAGATGAGGATTCTAATGAGTTCCAATGTGATTACAGTGGTGCAGTTGGTATCAGACCGGTTTTCTTTCAAGTGAACTCTCCTAATGGGGTCACTAGCTTGATATTTGGGACCATGTACATAAATTACATATGCATTCCAGATGTTTTGTCCTTCAGTGCAGTGCTTTCTAGTAACGTTTGTGACTATGGTTGGCATTAGATCTTAAAATTGCTGTATACTAGAAATTTAGATAGAGTTGCATAACTTAAGCCACACTTAAATTATGTACATTTTATTGAGTTCAACTCAAGTTCACAGGTGTAGCTCATAACATGAACTATTTGACATGTCCAGAAAGTGCCCAAATGCTGCTTTCCTTTGTTGTGTTTATTATTATTTGAGATGTAATCAGTGTGCTTGTGATATAGTATTTCTTGAAAATAAATGTCATTTTGTTGGATAATTTGATATTTAATGTGTGACAGTCTCGTATCCTCCAAATACATTTTGGAGCCATTTTAAGTTTGATTTTTCAGTCTACTAAGTGTCCGGTAGTGAACCAGGTCATTTCAGAGAGCATGTCTGTGTACTTTTTGTGATTAATCTTTTCGTCACTCTCCGCTTTTGACTTTTAGTTGCGTCAAGAAAAAGAGGCTCTGGAAATGCCACAAAGATTCTGTGACATATTAGTTTCATCATCCGTGGACGCTTGTATCACATCAAAGAATGACTCACAAAAAAGTTACCACTGAGAATATATGTATGAACCTGTATAAAGACCACCACAAAAACTCCCATCCATTTGTGAGATGATATAGTGTTACTATCCCTCACAGCCTTGTTTTCATTTGCTCATTTTACGTCAAATTAAATAACTTGACTATGGTTTATTGCACAACAGGCTTGGTACATGTCCTAAACATTAACAGAATTACATCAGAGTGTCAAAGTGTGGACCTCTGAACAGTGGACGGTGGATAATATGTTGTTTATATCAGGAATGCTGTGGAATCATAATAAATATAATGGACAATATGTTCTTTTATGGCTTAATAAGAATCAGTTCAGACAACAGATCAGAAATCTTAAGACTAGTTAGGGTGGAATTATGTGTTTAGCTCAGATTTTATGATCTTTGAGCTTCTTTGAGCTTAATTTAATAAATACTAACCTTTTTTTTTTTTTTTTTATAAAAATTGCTTTAAAAAATAAGTGCAAAAAGTCTCACTTAATCCATAAAGTTATTTTTCCAAATAGTCAACAAACTCTCGACTGACATTTTAATCAGTTAGTTAAATGACTGAGTGTTCTGACACCACTTGAGACCAGGCCTGTCGAGGTCATGGGTTGTGGCTTATCTTTATGGTTTAACGCAGAGTGAGCAGGTGTGGCCTTGTTTTGGAGGGTAAATAAATGAAATATCCAGAAACAGAAGAAAAACATGATGACAGCGCATGAGAACGCTGATTCACTCTCACGTCATATCCAACAGGAAGATTGTCCTTACAATAAACGGGACCAGTATTGTGGTCTGAAAAAGTGGAAGTGGACTGATTGGAAAGGAGAAAAAGGGCTGTGTCATAGACAGATCTCCAAATCATGAAAAGAAAGTTACATTTTTTTCCCTTCCCAATGAAAAGATCATCTGTCTGATTTTCGAGGCTACAATTATGTAATGCCAAACCTATGCCATAATTTATTTGAAATGTATTTAAGTACAATTAAAACCATTAACATATTTGTTGACATATCACTTAAGACTTACTGATATAAATTTATAATTAAGCTATATTTGGAGTATTTCTTTATTGCACATTTCAAAGCCTAAAATGTGTTTTAATGTCACTGGATTGTATGATCTCTGTATAATATCAGTCTTTAAATGCAAGATATTTAAAGTGTACCTACTTGCAATAGTTCCACTTTAGCACAAATATTAAGTATATCTTGTTAAATTGGACCTCAGCACTACACAAAATTAGTTGTTCCAATTTAGCAGACTTTAAGTATACCAGTTTACTATACCAAAAGTACAATTGCAGGGTATTTTTTATTAAGCACACTAGGGATTATAAATATGTTTAATGTGTCTAGATTATATGTTATCTATATAGATTGATGTAGATTAATCTGAATATATGGATGATGCAATATCATGTTTAGCTTGCTTTATTAGATCTGCTGACTCACCAGTGTAAGTCCTTTTGTTCAAAACTAGTGTCTTAGCGGGGGCAGAAAATGATCTATAGCTGAATCTTAGAACGGGCCTCTCTTAGCAAAACAGGCTTATACTGCCATCTGAGATGTTGAGGGGGGTGGAGTGCTTTGTTCCCAAAAAACTGGTGACCTACATCTATAATGGGGAGGATTTCAATGTTTTGTTCTAGACATTTTCACTCAGTATAGGGAAAACAAAAAAGTACAAACCATTTACAATTTACCCCAAAAAGACAGTTTTGCCTGAGCCTTATTATCATTATTGGATGCTAGCTAGAATACTTGATTCTGATTGGTCAGTCGTGCCATTCTGTGGTCAAATAGGATGAAAACTGTGTAAGGTACAAATTAACATAGTTAAAAGTGTTTAGAGCCATCAGAATGTTTTAACACTGCTTTGTTGAAGATAAACTTCGTGAAAAAAATCCAGTAATTTCAGTTGCAATGTGAGTAGATTCTTGCAAATTCTTGTAAATTTCAAATCATTCCCAGTCAAAATCATTCTCAAAAATCAA